TATATATATATAAGATTATATAAGATTTATATAAAACGTGGCATAGTTGGGACAAGTATAGATGATATCTGATGATGATTCAAAACACTATCATAAGAAACGCTTCTATGCAAATCAATAAATAGTGTTTAATTTTAAAAAATTGGTGGATTATTCAAAAATTAAAAGGAACTCTAATTTCCTTATTTATATACTGATTAGTAGTTCTTAGATTTAAAGTATAATTAATGAATTAATATTTATTATAGCAATTAAATAAAGTATGAAATTGATATTTAATAATTTAGTATTGTAATTTTTATAGAGAAATTATAAAAATTATAAAGTAGATATTACTTCTATGGCAAACATGTATAAAAGTTAAAGTGCTTGATGCAATACCTAAAAAAAAACACATCATAGTANAAAAATTTCGCTATGAGGCCCCTTTAACAACGAGGCCCGCGGAAAATCCCGCCTTTACACATATGTAGTTCCGCCTCTGATAGTAATACTAATACCTCTCAGCTTCGCATCGAAGCTAAAAATTAAAAAAATTTCGAAAATTAGTGTAATTTAAATTTGTATTTTTTTTGAAGGTTACCCCATTTACGGGGAACGAGGGAAATTTTTTCTATTTTTGAGGATAATGTCTTCGACTAGATATGATTTGTGATCTATTGACGTATCATTGAATGAAATCGGTTCTGTGAGATCTAAGAAAAAGTAGTAATAGACACAAAAAAAAATATAGTAAAACCAATACCTTCTCAGCTTCGCATCAAAGCTAATATTTTTATAGAATTTATTTTATAAAACTTCTTTTAGTTTCGTTTATATATATATATTTTTTTCTTAATTTATGAAATCTAAAGTATTTATCAAATTCATAAGAATGTTAATTTTGTTTTTTTAAATAATTAATATTTATAGTAAATTTATCAAAGGAGATCAATTTTTTTTTTGCATTTTTATTGTAATAGATAACTTAAATTGAAGTAATAGTAATAACTCCCTAGTAACTTTTGGTGTTTGAAAAGATTCTGCAATTGAAATATTCAGAACTTAATTAATTTTAATGATTTACTTTAACTAAATGAACCAATCAAAACAAAGTTGTAAAATGATTTAATCAATTGAGCGTATAATACAATTTGATTATAATTGTAAAAATCCACCGTCAATTCATGAGAAACTAACAATCATTTTTTTTAGAAATGGTTTATATAGCAAAATGTTACCAAAAAGTTTGGAATATTATAGTCTAGTAGTAGTACACACAAATACAGTAAAAAATTGATTAAATTACAAAGTAAAATGATTTAATTTTGTAGTTGAAACCTATCATATCAAACGTGATTCATCAATAAATACTTTGAAAACATTAGAAATTAATGATTTTAATTGTTTTTATGGGGAACATGTAATAACTAACTGTTTAAATGATAAATTATAATTTTTTTTAATTTTTGAGGGTAGTATCTTCAAATAATTGTAATCATTTGACGTATTGTTCAAAAATGTAGGTCAAGTTAGAGCAGAGAAAATAAATGATAGTAAAAAAATATTATCTTCTCAGCTTTGCATCGAAGCTAAAACCTAAAATATAGTAAAATAATTTTAATATGAATAAGAAATTTCTTCTCGCAATGGGTAACTCCAGTGATGGGATCCTTGATCTTTATTGAAGTTATAGAATATAATGAAATAAAATCAAACGAGTTGAAAATTTATTCTAACTTAAAACGAATTCAGAAAAAAATGTAAAAAACTTCGTTTCCATTCGCGGGGATTGGAACCTCGTACCCCAAGCGCGTTTAACATAAATATTACCGACTGAAAAAATTAGCTTTTTAAGCTAATTCAAATGTCAAAGTTATTTTTCTTGACTTAAAAAGAGCAAACAAATTTAAATAAGTTTAACTTTCTATGCTATATCAATTTTATTTATATAATATTTATCCAAATCAGTGTACTCCCCTTCTCATGTATTTTAAAATAAAATAAAATACAAAACCCAGAATTTTAACACAAAAATAGCATATTTTTACCATAAAGAAAAATCCAGAGGTCAATTTTTTTTTTCAAATTAAAGTATATGACATAAGCTCTAATTTAAGATTTATATAAAAGTGTCAGTATTTCCGGAATACTTTTAAAAATTAAATTGAAAATGTCCTAGTTTCAATACGAATGTTTAAAGTTGTTACCCCCCTTGTATAAAGGGGTATGATCCGAATTACAAAAAAAGTGTGTCAGATGAAAGGGATATAAAAAAATGATTTATAAAAAAATAATAATATTGATCCATACATTTCTCCAAAAGTTATAGCAATATAAATTTAATAATATAACATATAAAATCGATAATTTTATTCACAGAAATCGTACGTTTTTCTTTAACTTTGATGTCCGTTTTCACTATGAAGACAATTCTAGAGGTTAATTTTTTTTTTTTCAAAATATATTATATTACATAAATTTTAATTTAAGGTATATATAAAAGTGTCAGTCTTTCCGGAACATTTTCAAAAGTTAAGTTGAAAAAGTTCTACTTTCTATTTGCATTTTTATGTTTTGAACCCTCCTTGTATAAAGGAAATGGTCCGATTAAAAAAAAAAGAATGTTGAATGAAAGAAGTATATAAATATTATTTTTCATAAAAAATTGTATTCATCCATATATTTTTCAAAAAGTTATAGCGTTATAAATTTAAAAACATGAAAAAGATTTTTTTTACAAAAATCATATTATAGCTTCGATGCGAAGCTGAGAAGGTATTGGTTTTATTATGATGTGTTTTTTTTTTTTTTGTGTCTGTTACCACTTTTTCTCAGTTATCGCCCAACACACAAAATTTTGTGTGAAAATTCTCGAGTTTATAATTTACAATTTTTACTTTAAAGTGCTATAACTTTTAAAAAAATGAATGGATCAATACAATTTTTCATGAGAAGTAGTATTTATATACATCTTTCAATGGCCATACTTTTTTTTTAAATCAGACCATTTCCCTATATATGCTTAAAATATCAAAAATGCATATATAAAGTAGAACTTTTTCAATTTAACTTTTGAAAGTGTTCCGGAAGGTCTGACACTTTTATATATATCTTAAATTAAAGCTAATGTAATATACTTTAATTTGAAAAAAAAAAATTTGACCTCTGGACTTGTCTTCGTGGTGAAAGTTGACATCAAAGTTAATAAAAAATTACGATTTTTGTAAAATAATTTTTTTTTATATTTTTAACTTAATAATGCTCTAACTTTTTCAAAAATGAACATATCAATATAATTTTTTTTTATATAGATGCTTGATGTCTTTACTTATCATTTGGTATATTTTTTTTGTAAATCTGACACTTAATCTGCCCACAGGGGGGGATTTAAAATGACAACTTTTTCACAAAAAATTAACTTTTTCAATTTAACTTTTGAAAGTGTTCCGGAAGGTCTGACACTTTTATATATATCTTAAATTAAAGCTAATGTAATATACTTTAACTTAAAAAAAAAAAATGTTTGACCTCTTCACGGCGAAAATGGCTACCGAATGCTATTTTCGTGTGAAAATTGTCGGTTTTATAATTAACATCCACACAATTTTTTTATGAGAAATAATATTTTTTAATAAACTCTTTTTCATTCGACATACTTTATCTTAATCGAGATAT